GCTGCAAAAGACATGTGTTTCTCTTTTTTGGTTGCTGAGTAATATTCCACTGTATATATGTACCACATCTTTTTAATCCAGTCATCTACTTTTGGGTATTTGGGCTGCTTCCATGTTTTTCCAATTGTGAATAAAGCAGCAATAAATATGGGGGTGCAGGTTAAACTAATATGGCTTAATTCTTCTTTCCAACAGAAGATACACTGGTGTTAGGGTTGAAGGCCCCATCTTGGTACCATTAAAATAGTGCCTCAGAGAACCTAGAGTTGTCAGGTTCTATCCTAAACCACAACTTCACCTTTTTCCAGCAGGAAAATGAACACACAGCTTGAATCTTAGCTTGAGACATCTCATTCTCCCCACCGCTTCTGTCTGCTTTCTTGTTGCCTCTAGTTTCTCAGCTCCCAACAGCCTTTCTTCCACATCATGTTGGCTCTCCTGGCAAAAGGTAACCAGAATTCACCTCATCACCGTTGCCACTGACACCACCTGAATTCAAACCACCATTATCTCTCCCTAGACTGTTACAATAGTCCCTACCTGGTCTCCCCGCATCAGCACAGTAGCCAGAGTGATTCTGTTCAAACAAAAGTCAGAACATCAGATGTCACTGCCCAGAGGCCTCCATTGATTTCCCATATCGTCAGGGCAAAAGTCAATGTCCACCGGTGGCCTTCAGGGCCCCTCAGGCTTCACCTCCTACAGTGTCTCTGCTCCATCGTCCTGGCGTCCAGGCAGTTCCTGGAGGATGTCAGGCACTCCTGCCCCAGGGCTTCTGCCCTTCCTTCATCTGGAGTGTTCTCATATCATCTTACACAGTGCCCTCGTTTTCCTTTAGGACATCTTGGGAAAAGTTTTTTCTTGCTATTCCATCTATAATTCCACTCGTGCCCCTTCATTACTCTGTTTTCTTTAGCATACCATACATTTTCACTACTTATATTGTTAGTCTCTTTTTTTCAATAAAATGAATAAGGGCTCTTGTGTTGCCCATAACCTTCTTAAGCCGCAGGGGATGTTTGAACAGGTGCTTTGAGAGCCACTTCTTTATAAGGGCTGAGAACTTGGGTCTAGGCACTGGTCAGTGTTTTTTAAGGTGGGATAAACTTCTTGACACCCAGTTAAATTCGAATTCCAGATAAACAACAAATGAATGTTTAGTATAGGGGGATACATATGCTACTCCTGTTTCTGCCTTTCTGATTCTTTCTCTGTCTCTGTGGATCTTCCTCATTTTATTTTTCCTTTGCGAGGAAATTTATTCTGTTTTTCAATTTCCATAGAGGAAATTGTGACCACTGGTAGAGCATTGTTACAGCTCCTCAGTTATAAAGGGTCATCAAACACAGACCATAATGTAATAGTCCAACTCCCAGGAAATGATATTGTCAGCCTAGCTCAGTGAAAACTTCATGCTCACACAGTTCACACAGTGAAATTGTGCTGCAAAGTTTCTTTCAGCTGCCTGCACTGTGACCAGGTGGATTGAGAACAACGTGGAGCCAGAGGAGTCAGTTCTCAAAAAGGTGTCCATGCTTGGGAGAGCAAGATAGTCATGAATTCTTTTTTAAAGATTTATTTATTTATGCAAACAGAACTGGGGTACAAGCCAGGAGTGCAGGGGCAGTGAGAGGATTCACCAGAGACAGAGTGGGGAGCAAAACAGGCAGGCTGACAAAGTACACTGCTGAGGGAAGCAGCGGACTGGTCAGAAGAGGTCTGCTGTGCTGTCCCTTGGGGCAGGGATCAAACTCACACTGAAGCAGCTGTGGCTAGTTTGGAGTGCTGCGCCCTAACCCGCTGTGCCACCAGAGAGGGCCCAAGTCATGAATTTTTAAATAAAATTATAGAATCAGAATTTTGTTTCCTTGATGCAAAAACCACACTATAATGCTATTGAGTACTGTGATTCATACAGGTGGGTACATGGACGTATTACGTTTGGTTTATAGGGAAGGTGACATTTCACTGGAAAAAGGATCAACTTGAGATATCAAGTGAAATGAACACAGAAAAGTAGCCCCTGTCTGTGGTGACCCTGCAGAGCTCAGATTCAATAGTCATAAGCTGCCTGCAGGGTCAGAGAGGGGGTGTGCAGGGCGCTCCTGTAAGTGAATGATTACTCTAGGGGTCTGGAAGAATGAGGTGGAGAGATCCATAGCAACACCAGTGTAGGATCAAGGCAGGGCTTCTTGTGTTTTAAAAAAGAAAAGACGTGTGAATGCTGATGAAAAGAAACGAGTGGGGAAAGCGACCAGTTATTTAATATAAATAGGGTATAGGGAAAAGTATCTGACTGTGGGAGAGTGGGCGGGGCTGCAGAGCCCTGGGAAGAATGCATTTGTGGGAGAGAGATGCCTCCTTCATCTGTGCTTTGAGGGCAGGAGACTTTGGAAAGAAGCTGAGAGAAGGACCAGATGATGTCTATATTTTCTCTGGGAGCAGGAGCACAAGGCAGAGTGTGTGTGTGCTGGGGAGGTTTGTGGACAGACAGAGGTTTGCAAAAAGTGGGAAAACATTACTTAAATTTTTTTTAATTTTTGGACAGAAAAGCAAGAAATTTTTTATCAGATAAGAAGACTAGGAAATATTTTCTGAACAGAGGGGTTGCAAGTGGGTAGCCTACAAATTTCTATTTTTTATTGAGGTAACATTTAGTTGTCGACTATACCAGAGGGGTAGTCGTCCCCATCAGACCCCTCTCCCCTTTGTCCCTTCCCCTTCCCCTCAATTCTGCAGTCGTGTTTCTATCATTTTTGGTTTAGTTTTGTCAGTTCCTTTGTTTTGTTTTTATCTATTCTACAGAACTACCCAGTATTTGTCTTTCTCCTGACTTATTTCACTCAGCATTCATTATCTAGTTCTCTGCATGTTGTCACAAATGACAAGAGATCATCTTTTTAGTTAGCTGAGTAGTATTCTACTGTGCATATATATATACATACAACCACATCTTTTTTTTTTTTGTAAAGATTTATTTATTTATGCATACAGATTGGGGTGCAGACCAGAGATGCAGGGGTGGTGAGAGGATTCACCAGAGGCAGAGTAGGGAGCAGAACAGGCAGATCAATGAAGAACACTGCTGAGGGAAGCAGCAGGCGAGACAGGAGAGGTCTGCTGTGCTGTGTGGATCAACTCTGGGGTGGGGATCAAACTCACACTAAAGTGGCCACTGCTTGCTTGCAGTGCTGGATTTTAACCTGTTGCGCCACCAGGGAGGGCCCACTCCACATCTTCTTAATTTACTGCTCTGTCCTTGAGCCCTGAGATTGTTTCTATGACTTGGCTATTATAAATAGTGCTACAGTAAACCTAGGAGTGCATCTATGCACTACAAATTAGGGTTCTACATACTTGAGGTTAGATACTTAGGAGTTGAATTGCTGGATCATATGGTAGATCCATTTTTAATATTTTGTTTTCCATAGAGACTGGACAGTTGACATTCCCACCAACAGCATACAAGTGTTTCTTGGGAAAACACTTTGAAACTGTGACCAAAAAGGAAGTGTCTTACCCAGGTTCCTGGCAATGCCAGTGCCATCTTGGCTGCCGTCTTCCCTGCTGGGAGTCAAAATCTCACATCCTGTTCAGATATCCAAGGGCACTGGACAAACTGGTGTCTTGTTCCCCAAAAGAAATTCAGGCCCTCAAGACTGAGATTAGAATGAGGAGCTCAAGATGGTGGTTAATGAAAAGATTTATTGAAAAGCAACAAAAACAAGAGAAAGAGCCCCGGGAAGCCTTCTTTGAAGTGCCAGGGTTAGTGATCTATATAGGTTCTAGGATTGGGAAAAGAGGGCAGAAGAATTAAACTTTATTGGCTGAGAAAACAAGGAGAGAGGACTTGGCTAACCTCCATTTGTCCATATGAGTGTCATTTCTTGTTGACAATTGCAAGGCCAACCAGCTAGAGCTTGGTGTTCGTGCAGGGCTTCTGATATCTTATGGGTGACTAGCTCTTGCAGGCTATGTCCCTACAGCTCTGGTTTGAATGGTTTGTACAGAATTTGAGGTCTGTACAGAATTAGCTGAGGGATGCACAAGCTGAAGGGAAGAGGTTAAAAAAAGCACTATGGGTCAAGGAAATGTATGGTAGCTGATGTCTGGCCTAGAGTCATCTGATTTGTTTAACCTCTTGTTTACCAGCCCAGTGGAACCAGCAAAGTTCTGTCCTTGAGCCTTTCCTGTTTTGTCCTGGGATCCTGCCTGTGTCAAGGTCATGGGTCTAGGGAGTGGGGAAATAGCCTTCTCGGTGGTGGTTCACATCCGAACACAAATCAAAATCCCTTAAGGGCATGTCAAAATACAGATCATTTGGCTTTAACTCCAGAAGTTTCTAACCCAGTTGATGTGGGATGAGACCCCAGAATGCATCTTTGAAAAATTCTGATGCTGTTGCTGCTGGTCATGGCCCAAAGATTGAGAACCACTGGCCTAGGGTAGAGAAAGGCAGGAATGCTCAGTTTGAAGTTAATGATAAGAAAGTCTCTGGCCTACCTCATGGCAGTACAGACATACCTGAAGCAGATGATCATGCTCATTCAGGTCTAGAAGGTAGAGGTGTAAAGAAAGAAATAGGGCAGGGTTGCTTAGAAAACTTGGGTGGGAATAATTGATACTGGCTAGGTATAGAGGTACTGAAAAGAGGAGGGAAAAAACTGGAGATGTACCCCTGGAAGTTAAAAATTAATATCAATTTCCAACTGACTGAAATAATACTGATTTTTCAAGGCCTTAACATTCCTCATTAAAAATGAACCTTAAGCACAGAGAAATATTTTTTAGGGGACTAGCATACATAAATGTCCATGTATCTGATGTAAGTTTTGATCCAACTGGAATCATTGTTGAATGTCCTTGTTAAAGGAGAGCATAAGAATCTCTTGTAGAGATCCCGCATGATCATATTTCATATAAGGAACAAACCATGGTTGTCTACAACAGAAATGAAACAAGCCAGTTCCTTTATTGAGTACATTTCCTTCTAATCTTGGGGGCAGCGTGGCCTTAGCAGTTGTGTGTAGGGGAGCTGGTTGGCTCTAGAAGAATCGAAGGGTGCAGGCGGAGGGGTGTGAGTCTCCCATGTGCCTTCTGGAGGTCTCTGCCTCCTGCTCCTGTGGGTCCTCCTTTCTTACCTGACCTCCCTGTGCAGGTGTCTAGTGGAGAAGGGAGACGTGGCCTTCATGAAGCTGTCGGCGGTCCTGCAGAACACCAACGGTAAGTGCCTGTGCTTTGCCGCCCTCCCACAGAAAAGCTCCGCTTTCAGATATCTCCTCTGCTGGGCAAGCCGTGAAGTCTGCTAGCTCTGTCCGACTCCAGGGACTTAATTCTTGACCTTTCTTATTTTGGAGATAATCTTGTCATGAAGAGATTTGACAAGGCTGGTTATCACACTGGCCTTGAGACGAGCGCAAAACACAGAGGTGGGCGTCCGAATGAGCCCTCTGGCTCCCGTGATGGCTACCTGTTTGTTAAATATTCTGAGGACAAGTTTTGTCAGCTACATGTATTGCAAATATCTTTTCCCTCTCCGAAAAACCTTGCCTTTTTGCTTTCTTAACGATGTGTCTTGATGAACACTCTTATTTCTAATAAAGTTCAATTTATTAATGTCCCTTTCAGTTTAAGTTCTTTTTCAGGACTTTGAGAAATCTTTACCTTACACAGGGCAGAAATATCACTAACCAGAATGGTTGCAAATTTACGACTATTTCTCTTCTGTTTTGTTTTACACGCTCTACTGTCTTGTTTCTCTCCCCAGGAAGGAACACTGAGCCGTGGGCTAAGGATCTGAAGCAGGAAGACTTTGAGCTGCTGTGCCTCGATGGCACCAGGAAACCTGTGACTGAGGCTCAGAGCTGCCACCTGGCAGTGGTCCCAAACCATGCTGTGGTATCAAGGAAAGATAAGGCAGAATTCGTTCGCAGAATGCTCTTCAACCAACAGGTATGGGCATTGGGAGTCCTGTCCGTCCTGCCCACCAAGTGAGTTCTAGCTCCCTTCCACCTCCATGCAGCTCCATGCAGACCTCTCTCCACCTGCCTCACACTCTCCCTCCCTGACTATGGACTTTGATTCCCGCAGATGTACTTCCAGAGAAAGCAGAAAGCTGTGACTGTGTTCACTTTTCACTCTGGGCTGTCTCGTATTTATTTATTTTTTAAATTACTTATGCATACAAGAACTGGGGTACAGGCCAGAGGTGCAGGAGTGAGAGAACTCACCAGAAACAGAGAGGGAGCTGATCAGACAGATCCACTGAGATACACTGCTGAGGGGAGTAGCGGGCAAGAGAGAGGTCTGCTGTGCCATGTGGGTCTTCTTCCTGGCTAGGAATTGAACCCACGCCACAGTGGCTGGTGATTGACTGGTAGCACTAACCTCTGTGCCACCTGGGAGGCCCTAAGTTCTTTTTTTTTTTAAAGATTTATTTATGCATAATAGAACTGAGGAACAGGCCAGAGGTGCAGAGGCAGTGAGAGGCTTCACCAGAGACAGAGTGGGGAGTGGAACAGGCTGACTGACAAAGTACACTGCTGAGGGGAGCAGTGGGTGAGACAGGAGAGCTCTGCTGCACCATGTGGGTCAGCTCCCTCGCAGGCCGGGGATCAAACTTATGCTGAGGCAGCTGCAGCTAGCTTCTTAGTGGTGTGCTTTAACCCATTGTTCCACCAGGGAGGGCCCCGAGGCCCTAAGTTCTATGTGAACTGGAAAACCTTGACTTGTGGGCATCCGAAGTATCATCTGCGACTCACTGATCTCTGAGCAGAGTTGTTAATTCTGTTTGGGTTTGTTCTGTTACAGAAATAAGGGGGTAGGCTCAGTGCTGGTCACACAAGTTTGAGCTAGATGTGAGAAAAGCAGTACTGGTGGTGGATCCCATTGCACTTACTGATCTAAGGGAGGCTAAGCATGGAAGTTAAAGAGACAACATTCAGGCAATGTATGACCGCTACAGGCAGCCCACAGAGGCTGACCTTTGGAGTAGTGGGCTGCCTCAATCAAGTGAGCTTAAGCAAAACCCAGAGCCTCCTCTGCTGTTTGCACTAGCATGCCCTATGCTTGGGAGCACCGCGAACAAGTAGTGCACGTCTTAGCACCTGCTGTCAAGACAAGAGGCTCTTGATTATAAGCTAAGCTGCCCTCATGTAACAAGAGAAGTGGATGGATAAAGGAAAAGGGGAGGAGAATGAAGAGGTAGAAGTGGCTGGGTGATGGGAATAGATTCAGAAGGCCCCAGGCAGCAGGCAGACAGTGCAAGTATGACCAGAGTTGAAAATATTCCACAGTAACTGGTGGGTTGATGATAAAGTGGCAAATTCAAACTTTTCTTCTCAAGTTTGAGCTCAAAGATTGGAGTCTGTTTAGCAATTGCTTTATGTACATCATATTATTTAGTATTGTTATTTCTGTTTACAATGAATAAACAGATTCATTGACCTTAGTAAAGGACTTTGCTAAAGTCACATGACAAGGCATAGTTGAAATCGGGATTTGAACTTTTTTTTTAATTTCTCTCTATATTTTTTACAACATTGGTCATTTTTGTTCAGTTTGCTTTCTCCTCTCAGGTATTTTCCCCATAAAATTCCCAGTTCACCCATGAGCCATCACCATAGTCCCTTGTGTTCTTCCCTCCCTTATTTTGATGCTTCTTTCTCCCTTCTCCTGCAGAATGTCTCTGAATTATAGTTGTGTGTTAGTTTCTTAAAGTTTATTATAATATTATTTTCCTAGTCCTTTATATTGTTTTCCCTGCATTCCTCCTACAAGTGAAAACATCTGTCCTTTTTCTTTTCCTTTCTGGCTTATTTCACTGAGCATAATCCCTTTCAGCTCCAGCCATTTTGCTGCAAATGGCATGAGTTTATCTTTTTTGCTTGCTGAATAGTATTCCATGATGTCTATGTAACCTTTTCTTGATCCAGTCACCTGTTTTGGGGTACTTACGTTGTTTCCATATCTCAGCCATTGTAGCTAGTGTTGCCATAAATACAGGGGAGCAGGTTTCCTTTCAAATTAACGTTTTTGTGTCAAATTAATGTTTTTGTGTCCTCATGCTCCCTGGTACTGCTGGTCACTTACTGTCTATCTGACCCAGGAACTCTTTGGAAGGAATGGATTTCAATACCGGATGTTCCAGCTGTTCAGATCTTCAGTGGTGAAGGACCTGCTCTTCAGTGATGAGACAGAATGCTTGGCTGACATTCAAGACAAAACAACCTATCAGAAATACTTAGGGCCGGAGTATCTTACGGCTATTGCTAATGTGAGACCATGCTTAACTTCGGGTGAGTAGAATAAAGTGCCAAGAGCAATAACATGGCAACCAAGGTAAACATGTTTGCTTTAAGGACCTTCTTATACCAAGCCGTGCGCCCATGCTGATGGCAACACAAAGCCTGGTACTGGAGAAGATTTCAGACTCACCAGTTAGGTGAGTCAGTTAGATAATACTAATTGTTTGAAGGAGATAGTGTACAATAGCTCTTGAGAACATTTGGAAATTGAACTTGTTTATGTGTGTATTTCCATTTTTTTTTTTTTAAAGATTTATTTATTTGTGCATACAGAACTGGGGTACAGGCCAGAGGCTCAGGGGCGG